CTAATTCGGAGTTACATTGTTATTATCGAGAAACGAGTCTTTGCACAAAGACGGCTTATTGTGGAAATGGCTATGTGGGCGGGTTATATGATTGATCTAAAGACATATTAACGATTGGGTAATTTTATTAACCAAAGCGCTTGTTATATGCTGACAATGATACTACGCGTTTAGGAAAGTTGCAATCATTTGAGATTGTTAAGTTAAAAACTTGACAAAAGGCAATGCACACAACCCTGATTGGAGTGAACTACGCGTGGAACAAGGATGACTGGCGAAGCAATGATGATACAACTAGCCATTATAATTAGGAATTCCAATTAAAAAGTCTGATTTAAGACGAATGGACACTGGAAGAGCAAGAGGAATCTAGGAAAAGGGATGTATGGATGGAGGATGGAGATTTCATCAAATATATATAATTGCTAGCACATGCTAGCTCGAAAAGTATGGCTTAAGACGGGTGTTGAGTTGGAAGCAAGGGAAGATATAGCAAACAAATGATGCGTTATAAAGGCAGTACTGGATTATATGCACAGGCGTGCTCAGGGTGGTTACGTAGAAGTACTTTGATCGAAAATTTTGTCTAATATAGTAATAGAATTATAAATTGGCCACTCACGTGAATACATGTCACATGCCATACATAAGTAATACGCGTAGTAGTAGATTTTTTAGACATAGGAAAATGGCGTAATCGCACTTTCCATGCTCAACTTTCAATCGAACAGTAGTCTCTCCTTTCATCTATACTGCACTATGCAATGTTTTGTCTTCGGTTTAAGTATATTCCTTCTTATAGTCTACTTTAACATATCATAAACCTTATAAGCTTACGAATATTTAACGTTAAATTTAAATTTTAATATTAAATTCGTCGACTCTGTTAATTTGTTAAATGTTGATTTACGGGATGAAATCACTATTGCCACGTTTGGTAAAAATTAAATACGGCCAACACGCCCATGAATTATCGATCTACTTACTGTTATTAAAACATAGTGAAAAAACTAATATTAACGCTTGCACAATATCTGATATCTTACATTGATGTAGATTCTGCCAATTTTATAACTTTTTTATTTTATTCTCACTTACCAAAAGATTGTTTTTTTTTATCGTATTATTCATCATACGCTCTACATCTTTTTTCATTTGTAACACTCGTAATTCTGAGCAAATTTCATTTATTGATAATAATAAGATTAATATACATAGTCATTCGCTGTACGCATAAATTGTTAATCTTGCCCGTTTGCTTTTTTCCCGGGCAAGTTGGAGGAATTTCTGCAAAGACAACATTTGAGACGTCTTCCTCTAATTATCGACTGCAGTCTTCCACCCACCGTTTCTGATGATGCTTGTGGTAAGGGCGTGACTGGCATCAAGACCGCAGTTTGGAGTCTCGTATCCGAAAAGTTTGGAAGGTAGCCTTCAAAGAGGCTTTCAATGACAAATTCATTTTGGCGTAGCTTAAATGTATACAACTCCTCGGGCTTTAACGGAACATTGATATTGCCATCTCCTCCTATGTCTGGACGTTGTGATATTCCCTCGGGATTGTTGGTCTACCCGATCTACTATAAAGTCCAGAAGGTAATATTCTTCTAATTCCTTCTTCGGGTTTAAAATTTCGTCTAAACAGATGCCAAGCACCTGTTCGATTTGTGAGGCAGCGAATGGTTTCACTCAAACATTAGCATTTTCTCACAACTACCGTTACACCCGTAGTAACGATCCCTGTATAACGATCTCTTCAAATCACACAAGCAGCGAGGTACCCCTACAGTCACACGGTCGGCCAGCCAAAGTGAAGGAGGGTGACTGAATAAAGGGTTTATTGATTAACAGTGGGTTGTAGTTGACAAAATGTGCTAAGATTCTCTTTTTTGGATAAAAATTGTATTCGTTACTAAAATGTTTGGCAATACCCTTAAAGTAGAATTTTGTTTCGCATTTTCACAAATTTCGTGCGCGTTTACTATCAATGCTCTTTTTGCGATTGACGTTTTGTAAAGAGTAGCGAAGTAGTTATTATTATTATCTCACCACTCATGTACAAAATTGGTTGCTACGTAGATATGATGTAACAGGAATAGCATTTATATTCATTATTATCTTACGGTGTAAATTTGTGGCTTATAATATAATATGGGCTTTATGAGGTGCTTACCGCTGACTTTCTATTATTTTATATTTGCTATGATATAATAAATCGCTGCGTTTACCTATATTATTATTATTATTATGCGCTATATCGGTCAGGGGATATGTCGCCCAAAAATCAGGTCGATGGTGATCATCACTCAGAAATTTATATGTATTTCTATGGAAATTGAGCTAATATCCATAGTCGAGCTCCAAAT